AAATATTTTTAGGTTTTTGTATATATATATATATATATATATATATATATTGTTGTTTGTGTGTATATTTATATATATATATATATATATGTATGTATATATATATATATATATATATATATATATATATATATATATGTATATTTGTATATGTATGTGTATGTATGTGAAAGTGTGTGTGTGTGTACATGCCTAAAATGTATGTACCAACTTGTATATGTTTTTTTTGTGTATTAGTATGTGTTTTTTGAACATTGAAATATTTGGTCCTTGCGAAATGAGACAATCGTTATATTCATCTTCATATATTTATATTTGATTTAATTTTCCCAATTACGAAGCGGCCCTTTAAATAAACACATTTTTATTTTCCTTCGTCCCATCCCTCTCCCCCAACCTTTTCCCTTTTTTTTTTTCCTTCCTTCCTATCCGAATTGTCTGTGGTGTGTATATGTCACCACGAAATGTATCTTTATGTATTAGACATCCGTCGACTTTTCTTTCTCTCTCCTCTTTTAAATCCATTCCCCCTTTGACATCTCCAAAAAATTCTCTTCACATTCATCCTCATACTTACACTTTTCTAAATTCTGTTTTTGATTTCCGGAGTTGTTTTTTTTCTGTTTTCATTTTGAATTTGTAGGTCTGATGATTTGGATCGTATTTACGATTCCAATGGAATAAATTATGACCATGGAATATTAGTGTTTAAGCCTTTTATTATTATATATATATATATATATATATATATATATATATATATATATACATTGGTACGCCCAAAGATTGACTAAAAAATGAGCATACATGACCAAATGTCTGAAACTTGAAAAAAACAAAGTTTTATCGAAAAAATACTTGTGTTATTGAGTATAGTAAATTTATTGGTCATTTTTTAACATTTCTTCAGCAAGCGTCTTCATAAGTAAGCTAAAGTACCAAAAATTCAATACAATTAAAATATTAGAATCATAAAAATATTTAAAACTATTAAGATTACTAGGTTGTGAAAAATGATCTAAAAGGCGTTTATGTTGTATTCGTTATGTAATTTTACTACAATTATTTCCCTTTACATAAATTTCGAAAACATCAGGTTATCGATATATGTGTCAATACCACATAAAAACATCCACCTCCATGTTGAAAAGATAATTTTCTGCGATATTTTAAATTAAATGTAAGTAATATTTGTTTCGATTCAGATTAATTAAACTTTGAACCAGTTAATTTTCTTCGAATAAAGTTTCAGAAAAATATATTTTATTTTTGAATTTTTTTTTAATAATGAGAATTACGCTGTGTTGACAGATTTATTAATATGGACGATTTAACGATTCGCTTTGAAATGCAGAAAAATTATTTTGCTTATTGGAAATATGAAATTTAATCTATTAGCTTGGAATAAAAACTAAAATATTCCATTCTAAAAAAAAAATTTTAAACCTTAAGCATCATTATATATTATATATATATATATATATATATATATATATATATATATATATATATATATATATGATAGGATAATAGGAACAAATAGGAAAAGTTTCATCATCCTATCATTCTGTCGGATTCTAATCCATATTTAATCTATATATGATCCCAATATATATATATTTAGTCGTAGATATTGAAGTCAACACCCAGTCTGTTTCATGCTTAAATACAATCTTCAGGCCTGAAATGTGCGTTTAAGCATGAAACAGACAGTCGCCGCTCGTTATTGAGTTCAATTTTCACGTTTACATTTACATACGCTACTAGCTCTGATATTGAGCACTTTAACCCAAAATTGTAGCATCTTTTAAAACTATATTTATTTTATACATACATCTGGAGGCCGTGGGTGAAGCCAATGGCGAATTCATTGAATAAATTTACTGTTTAGTATTTCAAGATATTTTTGTATAATTTTGGTAAAAAAATGTATGTTAAAATAAGATGTCAGTTTTATTTTCACTTTTGCGTCATTTAGGCGACAATTTATCCATCGCACCTATATATATATATATATATATATATAGATACTAGCAGCATGGCCCGGCGTTGCGCGTGCTTGATTCAAAAATCGTACGACTCATACAGCAATCGCTATCACTTGACTTAAAATATTTTTGCCCTTCCTTGCCTTTTGTCTTTGCCGTGCTGATGTTGCCACATGCCTTACTTCTTGCCTATCTCACACTGCGAATTTTTTCTAAGCTCTATACTAAACATTAAATCTGTTGCGAAAAAAGAATTAAACAAAATGAACACAAAACGATCAGCTTTAAAAAAGAACTTGTAACTGGAAAAAACCGAATGAAAAAAGAATGTTAACAACAAATACAAGCGAATGAGCCAATTAGAGTAAAGTGCCATGCAGATTTAAATTTTTCCCACTTGTGACGAATGCAGCTATCGATTTTTTTGCATACTAGCATGCTAGTTAACATTCGTGTCAGTCAGCTGTTAGCTCTCACGCTGGCCAATAGAATCTTCCTGCCTATTCGTGGCAGCCGGCTATAGGCTATCACTCTGGCCAGTACAAAATGGCCGCAAACTACATGAAAACTGCCGTAGAAGCATGAAAAAATCGATTATTTCTACTATCGATGGAGGTTGGGAAATGCAAAGTCTGTCTTGGCCTTGCCGCTAACATGGAGCATGTGCATGTAAATTTTGGTGCAAATCCTTAGTAAATTTCGGCTGTGCATTCGTTACACACACACACACACACACACACACACACACACACACACACACACATCCTGCTTTATATATATATATATATATATATATATATATATATAACTTGAAAATAGAATAATTAAATTTCACATTTGAATCTGAAATTTTAACACTTCAACAGCTTCAGTGGAAGATTTCTTAGCATGATTCAGATTTTTATTTGTTTTATTTTTCTTAATTTTTTTGTCGAAAATCGTGGAAAGTGTAAATGATGGATACAAACCGACCAATACTCAATTACAAATGGCGGGAATCGGAAAGAAGTGAATTTTATCGGGCTTATAACATTGGATTATTTCAATTTTTATTAACTGCTGAAAGAAGAGAACGAAATTAAAAGTGAAGTAATCTTACTTATCCGCAGTCAACCCCGAAATAAATAATATATAATTAGTTTGCAGGAAAAAGAATCCTTGAATTTTAGAAATGTTTTCTTACTTAATTTGACAATAATTTCCACATGACTTTCCGGCATAGTGGCTTTCAGTCCACCAGCATCACCGATTCTGAAACTAGAGACGAAAAGAAACAATCAAAAATATGATTAAATATCTTGAGATGGTTGTTTAGAATAATTCCTGAAAAATAATTTTTAACAATTCCTACCATTTTGGTGAAATATCGACGAGAAGTCTTTAATGAATTATGACGATTTTATTTTGAAAAGGATGAAGAAAAAGACGACTAAATTATTTACATTCTTCGGACTATCGTCCTCATCTTTGTCGCCATATTTATTACAACGTTTCGGTCGTTGTACACTCCGGCCTTCTTCAGGTGGTTGGAATGTCGGACTTAACCCTTTATTTCGCTCACTGGGGTAGACTGTTCTAGTTTCACGTGCCATGTTTTGATGGATGTCAGTTATCAGTTATCTCCTGTTAATTTTCCCTCTGAAATTTCTCCACTGCCTTAACCATGTATTGAACTCACACTCTTTGGGTCCTGTCACTGGATCTAACCAACGCCTTTGTCCACTGTGCCATGTGTCCTTAACAGGAGATTTTTTTTTCACTTTTTGACACTTTAAATGACTTTCTGACCACTCTTTTATTAAAAGCCCTCCCGGGTTTATTGCATATTGAGAAAAAATCCCACCTTGTGATTTTTAAGACCCCCCCTCTCCCGTTTATTGCATATTCGAAAACTTTAGACCACCCCCTAATTATTAAGATCACTTCTTATATTAGGCCCCCTAAGTGTAAACCTATAGACCATCATAGTCACGTGATCAGGGTTCAGAGAAACACTGTTTTAATCCCGTATTTGAAGCCTGGAAAGTTCTTTTTTTAGTTTTATTCAGTATATTTCTTTTCAAAATTCCTCTCTTTTATTGAGCTAATTTTGCGCAGAAAACTTTCATTTTAGAATTTTGTAAATATAAAATTATTCTTGTAAATAAACAATCTAATAATAAATAGTGTTTTTTATTTTTTATGTTTAGGTTTTATTGCAACTCTATCGCTTTTTAAAACAATAAACACTGCTGAGGAGTGAAGGTAATGAAAACACAGGTGAATATTTTTGAACTTGCTGGGTCTCTCCTCTATCCCCCACACCCTAGCCGCTATAGTCACCAGACCAGGCATCAACCGATTATTACCTTTTGCTATATACTGTAAACTTGGGGCCGGTTTACACTAGGCTAAAAAAAAGGTCAACGTAGGCCCGTTTTACACAAGAATAGAAAAAAATAGACGTCGGTCAAATTTACAATAGGTTAAAAAGTAGACAAACTTCCTGTTAATTAGGCAGACATAGATTCGGTTTGCACTAGGTTCGTAAAAGTAGATATAGGTCCATTTTACACTAGAGTAAGAAAAGTAGATATAGGTCCGTTTTACACTAGAGTAAAAAAAGTAGATATAGGTCCGTTTTACACTAGAGTAAGAGAAGTAGATATAGGTCCGTTTTACACTGGGGTAAAAAAAAGTAGACATAGATCCGTTTTACACTGGGGTAAAAAAAAAGTAGACATAGATCCGTTTTACACTAGGCTGAAAAATGTAGGCAGCGGTTCGTTATATCCCCGAGTCGAGATGTAGCCATCGAGAAAATGGTCTCTTTTGTTGTTTCTTGGTCCTCATACTCGGGGGAAGATTAGGAAGGCGAAGGACGACTTAGCGAAGTAGAATAAATATATTGTAGCCAGATAAGAATATTTTGAATAAAAGTACTTTTTTTTTAATAAATCGGCAGTGTCATATTGCGTAATTTGATAATATGGAAGACAATAAAAATCGTTTTTCATTGAATCAATCAGTTTGCTACTGAAGGAATGCGATCACACAGTGAAGATGGGTGGGCAGGGGAATGAAGGCGGGTGGGCAGGGCAATGAAGAAGGGTGGGCAGGAGAATGAAGGCGTGTGGGCAGGGGAATGAAGACGGGTGGGCAGGAGAATGAAGGCGTGTGGGCAGCGGAATGAAGACGGGTGGGCAGGAGAATGAAGACGGGTGGGCAGCGGAATGAAGACGGGTGGGCAGGAGAATGAAGGCGTGTGGGCAGGGCAATGAAGACAGGTGGGCAGGAGAATGAAGGCGGGTGGGCAGGGCAATGAAGACAGGTGGGCAGGAGAATGGGCAGGAGAATGAGACGGGTGGGCAGGAGAATAAAGGCGTGGGAGAATAAAGGCAGGGGGGCAATAAAGACAGGTGGGCAGGAGAATGAAGGCGGGTGGGCAGGGGAATGAAGACGGGTGGGCAGGAGAATGTAAAACATTTCGAATTCCATGAAAAGTCTACTTACAACCAGACTTTTTTCGAATATTTCCAATGTCCGGTGATCTGGGCATTGGCTATCGTTATTGTCCATTTCAGGCCGTGGGCAGGAACGAGCATCACATGACCTTTCGGCATAGTAAATTTGTCCAGGTATAAACTGAAAGAACAGAGAAAAATAGAAAAATACTTGAACATTGACAATGAAGTCGAAAGATCTTTTTGGGGGTAATTTCACAAAGTCGTGGAAATTTGCAAAGTATATGTTTTTGTGAAGTCGAAAATAATCGTTATGGATATGTTTGTTTTTTGTTCTTTTTGTTTTATGGTTGGTTTTTTTTTTTTTTTATGGTTGTTTTTGTTCTTTTTGTTTTATGGTTGATTTTTTTGTTCTTTTTGTTTTATGAACACCATATCTACGTTGGTATAAGTCGATCTCGAGTATTAGTCGAAAATGCGTATTGGTTATGGAGTCAATGATCTATATTAGGACACTTTGTATAAAGGTCGACCTCAGTTTTTATTAATAGAGCCACATATCATTACCTTTTATTGAAATTAAAACACATTTTTTACATTGAAAGTCTCAGGATAAACATTTTGTTTCTATTGAATTAAATTATTTTCGCACAATATTACGGAACTTGTAATTGTTTATCAATTTTTTCGTGTCTCAGATTTTAAGTCCGCACCATTCACATCATGTCCCCACCCTTCACATCATGACCCCACCCTTCATCATGTCCCCACCCTTCACATCATGTCCCCACCCTTCACATCATGACCCCACCCTTCACATCATGTCCCCACCCTTCACATCATGTCCCCACCCTTCACATCATGCATAGAAATCAACTTAACCAAACAACTGCCATTGGAGAAGATGACATTTATTTTTAGTCCTAAAACTTTGAGAGGTTGACCCCTTCCTTTTGGCGCCAAATTTTCCCTTAAAACCTCGAATATACACAAATTTATATATAAACCAAATTTATCCCTATTTTGCAAATTTAATCTTAACAATAACATTCTTAGATTTTGAAAACCTTTTCACGAATTTTGATTCAATCTGAACAAATTTTTCGAGACTAACCCTATCCTAAACAGTTTCTGTTGGGCGTGTCATCCCAACATTTTCCTCCAATCAAAAGACGCGACTAATTTAATAATATTCCACGATGATTGGTTGTTAATTATTCAGGATTAAATCATTTTTAATTGCTGAAAAAATGTGAGAATTTTATGTTTTTATTTCCCACTACATTTTGGGGAAAATTTTTTGCTTAATTTTAAATAAAATATAAAAGCTTCAATCTTTGTACATGAACGATATTAAAGTTGTAAGTACCGCCGTCTACTTTATCCTTGTGCCAGTCTAAGTTTAGATAAATCTACATCAAATCTTCTTCTCTATTCATTTAACTAAGCTTCGTAAATATATATTAAAAAAAGACTTTTGCTCATATTACGTCCTTCTCTGATTAATTTTATTGTTTTAGAAACGCATCTCGCCGTGGACCAACAAAGATTAGAAACTCGTAATTATTATGACAGACGTGAGTTTGCACCGAACTTGGTATGCCACATTTGTTGATTTGTGCTGTGCTAGGGCTTAATAAATAACAATTAGGGTGCCTCGCTGTAGAGCAACGGTTAGCAATCTAATGTCGTTAATCTCTACTACTGTAATGAGTTAGACTTGTATCTTCAGGCTAAGGATCGGTGTTCTACCTCAAAGAAAAGCTAACATTTTGAATGCTGATTCTCCAGGCAGACGGTTGTACTCCTTCTTAAAAGACTGGCACAAGGTCAACGTTCTACTCATTTTCCTCTTTCATTTCGTCTCGTCCCAGAGATCATTCCACTGGTTGGTCACGTGAGTAATCTATATCGGACAATTCCTTTTTGTCTTAACATTGGAAATCTTCAGGGTATGAAACAATGATTCAATTTTGGGGAGGGCGGATTAAAGAGGGTGAAGAAAGTTTTTAGAATTTGAAGAGGGGAAGACATTTCCTAACCCGTTGAGAAAATCTTAAATAATCAACAGATGTGTTATATTCGCGTATATACGGTGTTTAATGCCATATAAAACCTTTTATACGGTGTTTAATAGGATATAAGACCTTATATACGGCGTTTAATAGCATATAAGACCTTATATATGGTGTTTAATACCCCATAAGACCTTATATACGGTGTTTAATGCCATATGAGTTCTTATACATGGTGTCTAATTGCATAAAGACCATATATTTATACTGAGTTTAATGGTATATAAGACAGTATGTACGGTGTTTAATGTCCCATAAGACCTTATATACGGTGTTTAATGCCGTATGAGCCCTTATACATGGTGTCTAATTGCATATAAGACCTTATATTTATAGTTTATTTAATTTCATATAAGACCATATGTACGGTGTTTAATGTCACATAAGATCTTATATACAGTGTTTAATGTCATATAAGACAGCCTTTTCCTATAAAAGAATGGGTAAAAGAAAAAAAAATCTTCCGAGTCCTATATTCGAAGTTCAGTTAGCTGATGATCCGCCCGATTAGTACTTGTATGTCGACTAATTGCACAATACTGTAATATTATATTGTCGAGGGAAGAGTCATTTCTATTCCATCAATACGGAATGACTAATAGGTTTTGATATTTTATTCACTTGTCTTAATTTATGTCATCATTGCCGCATAAAATAAAAATGATTTCATTTCAAATCGTACATTTTATTTTTCTTGTTTTGAGTTTAATTTTGTCAACTGAAAATCATCAAGACTGTCGTAAATTTTTATTTATTTATATAAATATAATAATATGTATAATAAATGGCAAAATTTTATTACAAATTTTTTCCGACCTATAATAAGCATGTATACCAAGGATATTTTAGAAAAGCACTTACAGCAAATGATGAGAGTCACACATTTCGAATATTCGGCTTTCATCGTCCTATCCGGTGTAACAGCGCAATGTGCAAAAAAGGTAAATTTTGGATTCTAGTTTTGTTTGGGGAGGTGAGGGGAATGAAAGGAGAGGCGGCGTCTAATCGGGCAACAAACACAGTGTTAAATTTAACACATGCGACCAGATATTTTGTCTTTTCATTCTGAAAATATATTCATTGGAATGGCTTAGCCAAAGAAAGATGTATGGCGCAGTTTGTATGATATCAGAATGCCACGTCACCTTTGCAACTTATAGGAAGTGACGTCACCTGGTTCGTGATGCACAAAGTCACGTGAGCAGTGGGTAGAGAGTCGAAATGAGAGGCCAACACGAAGAAACACTGTGTATACAACAACTGTCTAAAGGGGGGGTCGCTTTTATGACCTCTTCGGTATTTAATGCTGAATTTTGTATAGGGCACTCAGTGAGTATCAATCTCACGACTAAGTAGCCATGGTCAAACAGACATGCTTAGTTTACCCTTACACCACACCGAAAATGTTAAGCGGGTTTATTTTACGATATGTTACCCCTTGTTGTATTATTTAATGTTGAATTTAGTCTCGGGCATCCCGTGACGTTCAAACACACTAATAGATAGTGATGGTTAACAAGATCAAACTCGTTAACCATTACCCTATGCTGAGATACTCGAAAATGGGGTGAGAAAACCATCAGAATAAAAGCAGACACCCCTAACTGTACAACTCAAGAGGAGGCGTTGCCGTCCAGGTTTTCTTTGCGGTCAGTCTAAATGAACAGAAGTTTAGAAACGAAAATCTTTGTCTCTCTCCATTAACACTTTATCAAATAAAAATTTTCTTATAAAAACGAAATTTATATATTTTTAAAATCTTAACACGAAGAACACTTAACATGAAATAAGCTATTAAGAATAAAAACGCAAATATCTCAGCTGACAATCTTTGAGGTATTTAATGAGCAAAAACTTAACATTATTCAGACTTTTTTTGTTCGATGGAATATGTCATTTGGTTTAAATGCTTTTTTCTTTATTTAAATAATTGAATCATATTTGTTTTCAGAAATCTGGATTGGCATTTCAAATTTAATTAATCGACGCTTACTTGGTAAGGCTGTAGTAGGTGTCACCCGTGTTGATGACATCTGGGATCTTACGTAAATGTTTCAGTTGATTGTGAAGCTCTGCAAAACCAAGGGTTGCCGCTGGGAAAAAATGAAAAGAAGATAAAAATAAGGAACCCTTAAAAATCAACGAATGAGGGCGCAGTTTGCGTTTTTTATATGAAGAAAAAATTGTACAACAAAAGGCAATTCGATTGTTGATGACTTTCTAACATTTTAGGTCTTTTCATAAATTAATACTTAGGATGATTATCCTTATCAGGAAATTTATCTTTAAATTTTTGGTGGATATACCCTTCGGATTTTCTTCATAAATGTAAATTTTAAGATTATACCATTTCATTATGCATTTTTTATCAAACATTTTGCATCTCAACATCTCTGAGAACCAAGGATTATATTCAAAAATATTCATTGAATATTAACAACGGCTCATCTCAAAGTCTCTGACAAAGACAACAATGAAGATGAGGACTCTCTAAAACATTCATTGAATAGTAACAACGACTCATCTCAAATTTTAATAAAAGGTTTCAAATGTTTTCAATATCTCGACGTCAACCATTTGAATACATTTAGTTTAACTGTTGAATTAATTGAAAACAAAAACGAATTATCCATAAAAAAAACAACTTTGAAGGAAATCATTCGTAAATTAGGATTTTGTCTGGAAATAAAATCATGTAGAAAATGCGACAATTTATCCAAATTTGAGAATTTTAGTAGACTGTGTAAAAATGAAAGATAAATCTTACTTGTTATAAAATGCAGATTGTGTGTGTGTGTCTGTACGTTTATATATTGGATCGGATTTCCTACATTTTTCAACCGATTTCAACAAAACTTCACAGGACTGCGTAAAATTACCTTGCGGTGGTTCTGACAGCGCCAAAAATTGTTTTGGCACGAAATCAATTTGAAAACACGATTAAGAG